TTTTTTTTTCTTTAAGTGGAGATAGTCTCACCATATTGCCCAGTCTGATCTCAAACTCCTGGCCTAAAGTGATCCTCCTGCCTCAGCCTCCCAAAGTGCTGGAATTACAGGCATGAGTCACCCTGCTTGGTGTGGCTCTCCATCTTTATCAACCAAGAGTTCACTGAGAGTTAGCATTTTAATTCCAAAAAAGCTGCTTATCTCTTTGTGCTCTCTGTAGGAATTATTGACATACATATCTATTTTTTGAGATGGAGTCGTGCTCTGTTGCCCAGGCTGGAGTGTAGTGGCACGATCTGGGCTCACTACATACCTCCCGTCTCCTGGGTTCAAGTGATTTTCCTGCCTCAGCCTTCCAAATAGTCAGGATTACAGGCATGTGCCACCATGCCCGGCTAATTTTTTTGTAGTTTAGTAGAGATGGGTTTCGCCATGTTGACTAAGCTGGTTTCGAACTCCTGACCTCAGATGATCTATCCACCTCCGCCTCCCAAAGTGCTGGGATTACAGTCGTGAGCCACTGTGCCTGGCCTTATTGACATATTTATGTAGTAGTGTTGGTAGGTAATTAAATTGGACCTTAGGGATTGTTTCCCTATGACCTGTTTGGGCAACACTCCAGTTGTCTGAGGAATGCATATCCGGCTAGCCTCTAGCATCCCCAAATTATATGTGTATTTCAAACATTAAAGTCAGTCACACACTGCTTGTTGGTTTCTCATCAGTAGATGATGTCATTGCATCTCTGACAGAAATGCTTCTGCTCTGAAAGTGCAGGGAGAGGCTGTGCTATTAAGGCCAACTCTGTTTTGTTTCACATACTAGGGTGAGGGGAACTCATTTCAGAACTATTTGGCTGAGCACAGTGGTTTACACCTGTAGTCCCAGCACTTTGGGGGGCTGAGGCAGGCAGATTGCTTGAGCTCAGGAGTGTGAAACCAGCCTGGGTAACACAGTAAAACCCTGTCTCTACAAAAAATATAAAAATTAGCCGGGCATGGTGGTGTGTGCCTGTAGTCCCAGCTACTCTGGAGTCTGAGGGGAGAATCACTTGAACCTGAGAAGTTGAGGCTGCAGTAAGCTGTGTTCCTGCCACTGCCCTCAAGCTTGGGTGACAGAGTGAGACTTTGTCTCAATACCAAAAAAACCCAAAAAAACTTAAAAAGATATTTTGTTGGCCGGGCCCAGTGTCTCATGCCTGTAATCCCAGCACTTTGGGAGGCCGAGGCGGGCACATCATGAGATCAGGAGATCGAGACTATCCTGGCTAACACAGTGAAACCCTATCTCCGCTGGGTGTGGGTGGTGGCAGGCGCCTGTAGTCCCAGCTACTCCCAGCTACTCGGGAGGCCAAGGCGCGAGATTGGTGTGAACCTGGGAGGAGGAGCTTGTAGTGAGCCGAGATCGCCTCAGTGCACTACAGCCTGGGCGACAGAGTAAGACTCTGTCTCAATAAAGAAAAAAAGAAAAAAAAAGGCTGGGCACGGTGTAATCCCAGCACTTTGGGAGGACGTGGCCGGCAGATCATGAGGTCGGGAGATCGAGACCACCCTGCTAACATGGTGAAACCCCATCTCTACTAAAAATAAAAATATAAAAAAAAATTAGCCAGGCGTGGTGGCGGGCACCTGTAGTCTCAGCTACTTGGGAGGCTGAGGCGGGGGAATGGCGTGAACCTGGGAGGCGGAGGGTGCAGTGAGCCGAGATCACGCCACTGCCCTCCAGCCTGGGCGACAGAGCGAGACTCCATCTCAAAAAAAAAGAAAAAGAAAAAAAAAAAAGAGAACGTGAACAAAATATCTTTTTCTGCCCCCACACGTGGCTAATTTTTTGTGTTTTTAGTAGAGACGGGGTTTCACCGTGTTAGCCAGGATGGTCTTGATCTCCTGACTTTGTAATCTGCCTGCCTCGGCCTCCTGAAGTGCTGGGATGACAGGCGTGAGCCACTGGGCCCAGCTGACTTTGCCTTTTTTTTTTTTTTTTCTTTTGAGACAGAGTCTGGCTCTGTGGCCCAGGCTGGAGTGCAGTGGTGGATCTCAGCTCACTGCAAGCTCCGCCTCCCAGGTTCATGCCATTCTTCTGCCTTAACCTCCAGAGTAGCTGGGTCTACAGACGCCCGCCACCATGACCAGCTATTTTTTTGTTTTTAGTAGAGACGGGGTTTCACCATGTTAGCCAGGATAGTCTCGATCTCTTGACCTCGTGATCCACCCGCTTCAGCCTCCCAAAGTGCTGGGATTACAGGTGTGAGCCACCGGTGCCCGGCCTGCCTTTTTTAAAAAAATAAAATTTGGGGCCGGGCGCGGTGGCTCAAGCCTGTAATCCCAGTACTTTGGGAGGCCGAGGCGGGTGGATCACGAAGTCAGGAGATCGAGACCATCCTGGCTAACATGGTGAAACCCCGTCTCTACTAAAAATACAAAAAACTAGCTGGGCGAGGTGGCGGGCGCCTGTAGTCCCAGCTACTCGGAGGCTGAGGCAGGAGAATGGCGTAAACCCGGGAGGCGGAGCTTGCAGTGAGCCGAGATCGGGCCACTGCACTCCAGCCTGGGTGACACAGCGAGACTCCGTCTCAAAAAAAAAAAAATAAATAAATAAAATAAAATTTGTATTTTTTTGTGGTAGTGCTCCTTGTGGAGCAGGGCTACCTTATAGGCAGTGTGTCCAGAGTAGCCTGGACATTGTATTTAGCAGAAATTGACTGGGTCGTTTTCACTTTGGCTTTTGACTTGACTGGTTCTGCTGTTCTGGAATTATTTTAGTAACATTAATGATTTCCTAGCTTATTTTCATAATTTAGAAGCTAGTTCTTTAATATTTTTGAAGTCTTGGCATCCAGGAGATATGCTGAAATTGGGAATCCCTGTTTTATAGGAGACTGTTGATTTTTGAGGGATATGGTTCCCTTTTTAAGAGAGAATCTCTTATATGTGCTGATACAGGTATGTTTCAGGTTATATAGGCATCTGAAAGTAATATGTAGTTGAGAAAGAGGGTATGAGAACATAAGACTTATTTTTAGCTTAGAATCGTCAGCAACATTTCTGGCATTTTCTTTTCATATTTTTTTTTCCTTATCTTTACAGTAGCATAACATGATTGTAATGAGCTTGAGTTAATGTGTGTGTTGGGAGTGTGGTGGTTTGTATGTGTGGGACTGTTGAGTAGTGGTTTACTGGGAAAAATGGGTTATTAAGCAAAGAAAATGATAGTAAAGCCATTCCTTTTCTTTAATTGTTAAATTATGTAATATACACATTAAAATATTTGTGTAGTTTATATAGGTAAGGAAAAATATAAATTTAAAGTTATAAAATAAGCCTATTTCCACTATCAGGAAATGGTCATCTTTTAACATTTTGGTATGTAATCTTGTGCACCTTTTCTATGTGTATAAATACATGTGAATTTGTAGATAAATGTTTTATAAAAACTTGTATTATGCTATATAATTTTTTTCCACTCAATATATTGACATGCATAAATATACGTAAAAATAATGGTTATATAGTGTTCCATTTTATGACAGCACCATGATGTATATTATGTTCCCTATTGTTCATTTAGATTCTTTGAAATAATGGGATCTGTGTAATTCTAGTTATATATACACTGCTCTAATCCTTGTATATCCTTGTAATGTATATCCTTGTATATACATCTTTGTTGGCTTCACTGATTACTTAGGATAACTTAGTACTTCTTGGTCAGATTGTCCATAATGATTTTTAAGGCTTTTTGCTTTGTTTTTTTTTTTTTTTTTTTTGAGACAGAGTTTCGCTATGTCGCCCAGACTGGAGTACAGTGATCCCATCTCGGCTCACTGCAGTCTCTGCCACTCAGGATCAAACGATTCTCATGCCTCAGCATCCCTGGTAGCTGGGATTGCAGGCGCTTGTCACCAGGCCCAGCTAATTTTTATATTTTTAGTAGAGATGGGGTTTTGCCACGTTGGTCAGGCTGGTCTCGAACTCCTGACCTCAAGTGATCCACCTGCCTCAGCCTCCCAAAATGCTGGGATTACAGGTGTGAGCCACCGCACTCTGCCGACTTTTTGCAAGTTAGTACCAAATTGCCTTCAAGGAGCGGAAGATCCTCAAACAAAATCTACCTTGTAACTCTCGCCCAGGCTGGAGCGGAATGGTGTGATCTCAGCTCACTGCAACCTCTGCCTCCTGGGCTCAAGCAATCGTCCCACCTCAGCCTTCTGAGTAGCGCCACCACACCTGATTTTTGTGTTTTTAGTGGAGACCAGTTTTTGCCATGTGGTCTCGAACTCCTGGCCTCAAGTGATCCGCCTGATTTAGCCTCACAAAGTGCTGGGATTACAGACATGAACCACCATGCCCAGCCTGTGCATTCTTTTTCTTTTTCTTTTTTTTTTTTTCCTGAGACGGAGTTTTGCTCTTGTTGCCCAGGCTGGAGTGCAATGGCGCGATCTCGGCTCACTGTAACCTCTGCCTCCCAGGTTCAAGTGATTCTCCTGCTTCAGCCTCCTGAGAAGCTGGGATTACAGGTGCTTGCCACCGTGCCCGGCTGATTTTTGTATTTTTAGTAGAGACGGGTTTTCACCATGTTGGCCAGGAGGCTGGTCTTGTGAACTCTTGACCTAAGGTGAGCTCCTCGCCTCCCAAAGTGCTGGGATTACAGGTGTGAGCCACTGCGCCTGGCATTCTTTTTTAAAAGGTAAGAGTCTGGCTGCAGAGGAACCTTATACCTGAAATGTTTTGCTGTCTGAATTCACTCCAGAGTGAAATGACTTGAAGTACAGGTTTTGTGACTACTAGAATTTTTGTGTCAGAGGCTTCTCCTTCTGCCATTTTTTGAACATTTTCCTAGAATTACAAAAAAATCATTCCACATTTCACAGTATGTTGCTAGGAATCTGACCAGGTCCAATTCATAATTTTAAACTTTAGAGTTTTAAAAACATGTATGCTTATGCTGTAAGCAAATGGAACCCCAGGAGTAAGTGATAACTTTCTGTTTTTCCTCATTAGGTTTCAACTTTCTGTGCTGTGGCGTCAGCCATAAGAGAGGTAGATTTGATGTGTATCTGTGCTAAAGAAGCATGAGCTCCTTACAGTAACTAGCAGCCAACTCCTCTTCCCAATAACATTTGCAGACTTCTTGGAGTGGTAGTTCATGGTCTTCTAAGAAGGCTGTGGATGCCTTACAAGCATTATTTGACTCTAGCTCCCATATCTCACTGCCCTCTCCAAAAAAGATGTTATCCTAACCTGGAAGTATCTTTTCTCAGAATTTTTCAGTATATTATGAATCAGTGACTACCTTTTCTCTCCCTTGAAATTTTCCTGTAACTTCATGTTCATTTCCTTTTGTTTCGGTAAACCTGTCTCAACTCTTTTCCTTTTCTCTTTCTGTTGTACCTCTCATTTCCCCTGACCCTTCCTGTCCTGTAGATGGTATTTCATAATTCACAGTGATAATAATTGCTAGCATTTATAGACATTTATTGTAGATTAAGTAGAGCATTTATTATAGATTAAGCCTATACGTAACTTGTTTAATTCTCATAACAACCTTAGGAGGTACATGTTGTTTCTTCCACATTTTATAGATAAGGTAGCCAGTCTGCTCTAGAGAAATTTTAACCAACCTACCCAAGGTTACCTACTTAGTAAATTTTTTTTTTTTTTTTTTTGAGACAACGTTTTGCTCCATCACCCGGGCTAGAGTGCAGTGCTGTGATCTCAGCTTACTGCGACTTCCGCCTCCTGGGTTCAAGCAATTCTTGTGCCTTAGCTTCCAGAGTAGCTGTGACTACAGGTGAGTGCCACCACGCCCAGCTAAGTTTTGTATTTTTGGTAGAGACGGGATTTCTCCATGTTGGCCAGGCTGGTCTTGAGCTCTTGGCCTCAAGTGACTCACCCACTAGGCCTCCCAAAGTGCTGGGATTACAGGCTTGAGCCATTGTGTGCAGCTGTAAATGTTAAATCTAGTATTCAAACCTAGCAAACCTAGGTGTTCTGATTTCTTTTTGTTTCTTCTTCTTCTTTTTTTTTTTTTTGGTTTTCCCTGGGATATAGATTTTCAGGTGTTCTGATTTCAGAGCCTGCATTCCTACCCACTGTGCTGCTGCTCCCCTCACTAATTTGAAAGTCTGTGTGTGAACTAACTTTACTTAAAACCGGGTTAAATATTTGTTGTTACTGTCTGAACCAAGAGTCCTTGGGTTGAAGGAGAGGGTAGTACAGAAGGGAACTTCTCCTTCTGACTTTAGCCTTCCTAAATCAACAAAATTATGAGCTCCTTTGTGTACAGTAGGTGGAATTATTGTTCATTCTTTCAGAAGCATTTTGATTTTATTAATGTATTAATTTATGTATTTTGAGACAGGGTCTTGTTCTGTCACCCAAGCTGGAGTGCAGTGGCACAATCATAGCTCACTGCAGCCTTGACCTCCCAGGCCCAAGCCATCTTCCCACCTCAACCTCGCAAGTAGCTGGGGCTACAGATGTGTACCACCATGTCCAGCTAATTATCTTTTCTTTCTCTTTTTCTTTTTTTTTTTTTTTTTGAGATGGAGTCTTGCCCAGGCTGCAGTGCAGTGTTATGATCTTAGCTCACTGCAACCTCCACCTCCTGGGTTCAAGCGATTCTCCTGCCCCAGACTTGCAAGTAGCTGGGATTACAGACACATGCCACCACGTCTGGCTAATTTTTGTATTTCTTTATAGAGATGAGGTTTCAGCATGTTGGCCAGGCTGGTCTTGAATTCTTGGCCTCAGGTGATCCACTGCCCACTTTGGCCTCCCCAAGTGGTGGGATTACAGGTGTGAGCCACTGTGCCTGGCAGTGTTAAAATTGTTAATGTCTTGTTACAAAGACAAAAAGGTATTTTCTATGCTAGTGAGAACCTTAACATCTATAAAACTGTGAAACTGCACTTTCAAGTATCAGACTTGAAAGTTTCTGCTCCTCTAGAATACTGGCATTGCCTAATTCAGAACAAAGGTAATCTCACTGAAAGAAAGGTACTTTCATATTCTTTTTACAAATGATGTTGATGAGTGTTGCTAGAGGAACAGTGTTGTTAATTTCCTTGAGAGGACCTGAAGGAGGACAACTATACCCTTAATCCTATCAGTGAAAATGAAACATTTCCTTGTCTCAAGGAAAAGGAGGGGGTACCTTGAGGGAAGAATATATGTGTTCATGTTGTCCATTAGCAAATCTGAGATTTAGTTAGTTTGTTAGAGCATTCTAGTTCCATTGGTGCTTTATTGTTCCAGCTGCTTTCTAGTTGGCCAGGAAATTAAAAACCAAAGATGAGGCCGGGCTCAGTAGCTCACACCTGTAATCCCAGCACTTTGGGAGGTCAAGGTGGGTGGATCACAAGGTCAAGAGATCTAGATCATCCTGGCCAACATGGTGAAATCCCGTCTCGACTGAAAATACAAAAATTAGCTGGGCGTGGTGGTGCGCACCTGTAGTCCCAGCTACTTGTAAGGCTGAGGCAGGAGAATTGCTTGAACCTGGGAGGTGGAGGTCGCAGTGAGCCGAGATCGTGCTGCTGCACTCCAGCCTGGCACCAGAGTGAGACTCTAACTCAAAAAAAAAAAAAAGCCAAAGATGATTCAGAAGAAAGTTTTGAATTAGGGATCATGAATGTGGGTTCTAGTTTTGGCTCTTATCACTGCCTATGCTTTGATTTTGAGCCCATTCCTTAACCTCTTCCTCTGTGTTCTTATAATAAAAGGGATTAGGCTAAAAGTTAGACTAACAATCTCTTTCTGAATGATTTTGTTCTAATATAAGTGGTTATTGACTTGTAATAAGTAGTTTTGGCTTGAAAATTGGAAAGTAGGCTAGGCACAATGGCCCACGCCTGCAATCCCAGCACTTTGGGAGGCTGAGGTGGGCAGATCACTTGAGGTCAGGAGTTCGAGACCAGGCTGGCCAACATGGCAAAACCCTGTCTCTACTAAAAATACAAAAATTAGCCGGGTGTGGTGGGGCACACCTGTAATCCCAGCTACTTGGGAGGCCAAGACAGGAGAATCACTTGAGCCCAGGAGGCAGAGGTTTCAGTGAGCTGAGATCACACCAGTGCACTCCAGCCTGGATGATAGAGCAAGACTCTCATCTCAAAAAAAAAAAGAAGGGCTGAGTGCAGTGGCTCACGCCTGTAATCCCAGCACTTTGGGAGGCTGAGGCGGGCGGATCACTTGCATTCAGGAGTTCGAGACCAGCCTGACCAACATGGTGAAACGCCGTCTCTACAAAAAATACCAAAAAAATTAGCCGGGCATTGTGGTACATGACTGTAATCCCAGCTACTCGGGAGGCTGAGGCAGGAGAATCTCTTGAATCTGGGAGGTGGAGGTTGTGGTGAGCCGAGATTGCACCATTGCACTCCAGTCTGGGTGACAAGAGCGAAACTCCATCTTAAAAAAAAAAAGAAACAAAATTGGAAAGTAGGCTTTGTGTCGTGGCTCATGCTTCTAATCCCAGTATTTTGGGAGGCCGAGGTGGGAGGATCGCTTGAGCCCAGGCATTCAAGACCAGCTTGGGCAACATAGCTGAACCCTGTCTTTTGTTTTTTTTGAGACGGAGTCCTGCTCTGTCGCCCAGGCTGGAGTGCAGTGGCCGGATCTCAGCTCACTGCAAGCTCCACCTCCCAGGTTCACGCCATTCTCCTGCCTCAGCCTCCCGAGTAGCTGGGACTACAGGCGCCCGCCACCTCGCCTGGCTAGTTTTTTTGTATTTTTTAGTAGAGACGGGGTTTCACCGTGTTAGCCAGGATGGTCTCGATCTCCTGACCTCACGATCCGCCCGTCTCGGCCTCCCAAAGTGCTGGGATTACAGGCTTGAGCCACCGTGCCCGGCCTGAACCCTGTCTTTACATATTCTTTCCTTTTTTTTTTTTTTTATTTTTCCCCGAGATGGGGTCTCCCTATGTTGCCCAGGCTGGTCTCAAAACCCTGGGCTCAATTAATCCGCCCGTCTTGGCCTCCCAAAGTACTGGGATTATAGATGTGAGCCACTGTGCTCAATGCCTGTCTCTGTTTTTATTTATTTTGTTTTTTTGAGACAGAATGTCACTCTGTTGCCCAGGCTGGAGTGCAGTCGCGCGATCTCTGCTCATTGCGATCTCCGCCTCCCAGGTTCAAGCGATTCTCCTGCCTCAGCCTCCTGAGTAACTAGAATTACAGGTGGGTGTCATCACGCCCGGCTACTTTTTTGTATTTTTAGTAGAGATGGGGTTTCACCTTGCTAGCTAGGATGATCTCGATCTCCTGACCCTGTGATCTGCCTGCCTTGGCCTTCCCGAATGCTGAGATTACAGGCATGAGCCACCATGCCTGGCTTGCCTGTCTCTATTTTAAAAAAGTCAGCTCTGGCCGGGCACGGTGGGTCAAGCCTGTAATCCCAGCACTTTGGGAGGCCGAGACGGGCGGATCACGAGGTCAGGGGATCGAGACCATCCTGGCTAACACGGTGAAACCCTGTCTCTACTAAAAAATACGAAAAACTAGCTGGGCGAGGTGGCGGGCGCCTGTAGTCCCAGCTACTCGGGAGGCTGAGGCAGGAGAATGGCGTGAACCCGGGAGGCGGAGCTTGCAGTGAGCTGAGATCCGGCCACTGCACTTTAGCCTGGGTGACAGAGCGAGACTCCGTCTCAAAAAAAAAAAAAAAAAAAGTCAGCTCAGATTAAGAAGTTTGATTATCCAGACTTGTTTTATTTTCTTCTGTGGTATTTTTTTCCTTTACTTACATTATACAATCGTCAGATGCACGTGAAGTAGAGAGAATAGTATAATGAGCTTCCATGTACTTATCACCTAGCTTTTTTGTTTTTTTTTTTAAGACAGGGTTTTGCTCTTTCGCCCAGGCAGGAGTGTGATGGTGTGGTGTGATCTCGGCTTACTGCAACCTCCGTTCCCTGGGTTCAAGCGATTCTCCTGCCTCAGCCTCCAAGTATTTGGGATTACAGGCGCCCGCCACCTTGCCCAGCCAATTTTTTTGTGTTTTTAGTAGAGATGGGGTTTCACCATGTTGGCGATTCTGGTCTCGAGCTCCTGACCTCAGGTGATCCACTTGCCTTGGCCTTCCAAAGTGCTGGGATTACAGGCGTGAGCCAGTGTGCCTGGCCTATCACCTAACTTTGATAGCAGCATTTTGCCAATCTTCTTGCATCTATACTTCATTTTTCTACCTCTACCTTCCTGGAATATTTTAAAGCAAGCCCAGTCCTCATGGGATTTCATTCCTAAATACTTCAGAACGTATCAATACACTTAAGGAATCTTTTAGAGGTGAGGATGGGAGAGTATAACTACAATAGTAGTGTCACATCTATAAAATTAATATTTAACTTTTCTTCTCAAAGCTCTTTTCTCAGAAATGTCTTTTTATGGTTTATTTTTTTCTAATCAGTACTCAAACATGTTTCGCACATTATATTTGGTTATTTCTCTCTGAAATCCTTAATTAAAATAGTTTCCAAACCCTGTAGTATTTTTTGAGGGACAAATGAGATATATTTGTAAGTTTCCAAAGTGTTTATACAAACATAAGTTGTTCGGTCATAGGAGAGAAATAACGTTTCTAAAAATATATCAGCATTGCAGTTTAGTGTTAATAGTCAGCATTAAAGAGAAATGAGAGAATGTGGAGATGCCTGAGTGATGGAGAAAAAAGCAGGAATAATTTGGCATTGAACCGAGGCTGAGATATATTAAAATTGAGCCAGTGTGGAGAAGCTGGCCTAGGACCTTCTCTGTAGCATTTATAGCCAAGCTATCAGCATTTATAGCCAAGCTATCACCTATATACCCACCCTTGGATAATAGGTTCTCCTCTCTTATCGTACATGCCACACTTCCAAGTGTGGACTGATGATAATAAAGACATTCAAATAATGCCCTTTGAGAGTTTTGCCTTAGATGGGGGGCTGCAGGTGTCAAGATTCTCAGATAAAATATTTTCTTCTAGGGAAGAATAAACTTATAATGCTGTCTCCCTACCCAAAATGATAATGATATATATAAATCATGGGTATGGATTCCAAAATGATAATGTATACCTACAGTATTTTTCACAAGGACACTAGAAAACATTTTCTGTTAAACAGTATTCTGGTTTTATCCATAGGGATGAATCTCATTCTCTTTAAAAATTGTCTGGCTAACAGCCAGGTGCAGTGGTGCAGGCTGATAGTCCCAGCGACTCAGGAGGCTGAGGTGGGAGGATCACTTGAATCCAGGAGTTTGAGACCAGCCTGGGCAACATAGTGAGACCTCATATCTCCAAAAAAGAATAATAGCAAAAAAAAGCAAAATCAGCTGGGCATGGTGGTATACGCCTGTAGTCCCCACTACTCAGGTGGCTGAGGTGGGAGCATCACTTGAGCCTAGAAGGTAGGGGCTGCAGTGAGCAGAGAGATTGCACCACTCTACTCCAGCCAGGGTGACATTGTGAGACCGTGTCTCAAAGGAAAAAAAAATTAATATATGTGTGTGTGTGTGTGTGTGTATATATATATATATATTTTTTTTCCTTTTTTTGGATTTAAAATAGGTATGATATTTTTCTCTTCTGTTCCTTGGTAGGTTGGATCTCTGATGTATGCCACAGGGGCAAAACTTTAGGCAAGGAAGAGAGTAGTAGGTCTTGTGTCCTGATTCTGCTCCTCTCTTTGTCACTTGGTCTGAGTATTATTACTTAGACTCTAATAGCATCATCATTCTGCGTACTCTTGGAATTAGTCCCAGTTTTGCAGTCGCAGATAGCTAAGCAGTTGGCACCAAAATTCCATGGAGCAACATCTTCTTATCTTTATTCTAGGTACTTTGCAAGAGTGTAGCAGCCCTAGAGCTACATGTTTGTGTGATAAAACTAGGAAAGGTAGCAAAGTAGAACTTTTTAGGGAGTAAGAAAGCTTCAAAGCCACTCTACATTGAAATTACTTATCTGCTTTTTTTCCCTTGTTTAACTTTGTTCAGTGACTTTTTGCATACAGGGGAGCTTACTTTCTGGGTGGTAACTACGAGACTAGAAGCAGATGCTGGCTATTGGTTCTCCCTGGTCTCTTCTAAACCCTTTCCTCTGGGTTAAAAGAGGAGAGGATAGGCCAGGCGCTGACCAAAGAGTCTAGAATCAGCATTTTTATTCTCAACTGAAAGCATGCAGAGTACCTCATTGAGAATCAGATTCCATAGTTGTTAGTGTGTACAAGCATGTGGGTATGTTGGGGGATGGGACAGCTGAGGGTTTTGGCAGGAACCGTGTTCTTTGAGATGATGATTAGAATTTCACGAAGGTCTATGTAAATTGGAAATTAAACCTTGCTGTGAGCCTAACTTTGCTCTTGTGGGCACGGTGGCTCACGCCTGTAATCCCAGCACTTTGGGAGGCCAAGGCAGGTCGATCACGAGGTCAGGAGTTCAAGACCAGCCTGGCCAAGTTGGTGAAACCCTATCTCTTCTAAAAAATGCAAAAACTGGCCATGCGCAGTGACTCACACCTGTAATCCCAACACTTTGGGAGGCCGAGGCGGGTGGACCACCTGAGGTGAAGAGTTCGAGACCAGCCTGGCCAACGTGGTGAAACCCCATCTCTGCTAAAAATATAAAAATCAGCCAGGCGTGTGGTGGGCGCCTGTAATCCCAGCTACTCGTGAGGTTGAAGCAGGAGAATTGCTTGAACCCGGGAGAAGGAGGTTGCAGTGAGCCAAGATTGCACCATTGCACTCCAGCCTGGGTGACGAGCAAAACTCCGTCTCAAAAAGAAAAAAAAAGGCCGGGTGTGGTGGCTCACGCCTGTAATCCCAGCACTTTGGGAGGCTGAGGCAGGTGGATCACGAGGTCAGCAGATCGAGACCATCCTGGCTAACACGGTGAAACCCCGTCTCTACTAAAAATACAAAAAATTAGCCAGACGTGATGGCACACGCCTGCAATCCCAGCTACTCAGGAGGTTGAGGCAGGAGAATCGCTTGAACCCAGGAGGTGGAGTTCACAGTGAGCCGAGATCGTGCCATTGCACTCCAACCTGGGCGACAGAGCGAGACTCTGTCTCAAACAAACAAAAAAAAAAACGGGCGGCAGAGCAAGACTCCATCTAAAAAATAAAAATAAAAAAAAAGGGACAGGTGCGGTGGCTCATGCTTGTAATCCTAGCACTTTGGGAGGCTGAGGTGGATGGATCACTTGAGGTCAGAAGTTTGAGACCAGCCCGGCCAACATGGTGAAACCCCACCTCCACTAAAAACACAAAAATTAGCTGGATGTGGTGGGAGGCACCTGTAATCCCAGCTACTCGGGAGGCCGAGGCAGGAGAATCACTTGCAGTGAGCTGAGGTCATGCCACTACACTCCAGCTTGGGAAAAAAAGAAAAAAAAAATGATATTTCCCAGAGGAAATATGAATATTTGAGTAAGAAAGGGGGCTAGAATAAAAATGGAATATGCACAAGGCCTATGTGAGTATGGAGAAGGAGAGAGGGACATATAAAATTGCTATCCAAAAGGATCTGGTATCACTGAGCAAGAGGCAGGAGTTTACACTCATGTTTAGTTTGACTCAAACTCTGATGCCTTCAGTGTGCTTGATAGAGATGTGAATGTGTGATACACTCTTATGATTGTGTGTGTGTGTTTTTTTTTTTTTTTCCTCCTAGCAGCATCTGGAATCAAGAGACCTGTGGCACCTGAGGTGAGTTTCATATTGATACAATGGTTACTAAAACTTTAATTCTGGGATAGAAGGAACCTGTTTATGACATTTTTATTTTTTATCTACTTAGGTCTTGGAAGCTAAACAGGATTCTTACATCTCATTGGTAGGCTAGAAATTATGCAACTCAACTTTTATTGTAGTTTATTTTAAATATTAACAATATCTCACATTTATTGAGCATTTTAAATGTACCAAATGCAACGTGTACCAAAAAGTAAATATGGTACCTAAGTGCCCTTTAAGATATTCTTATTTAATCCTGCAAACAACTACAGTGAGGCAAATACTGTTATCTGTTTTACAGATGAAGAAAGTGAGGATTACATAGTTATTAAATGGGATTAGTAAAGCTGGGATTCAAACCCAGGCAGTCTGACACTAAAGCTCACTTTCTTAGTTTTGCTGTTATGGCCTCCTGATTACATACCTTCAATGAATATGAAGAACTTCTTTGAGCTATGCAGAAACTACTAGTTTCCCAAGTTTCTGTTTTTTGTCCAGAATATCGTCAGTTTGCTCAACTTTCTTCCCATGGAGTATTTCCTAACCCTCTTCTCACTTCTTGCCTCTCCCCTGGGTTTTGTGAAATGGGCCTCAGAATGCAGGCCCTTTTGACCTGGGACTTGAAGCTCTCTCTCAGAACATCTTCCAGCATCTGTCAGGTGATATACTGAGAGTTTTCTGGTACTAAGGGCCTTGGCTGAAGGAATAGAACTTGAATATCAGGTCTTAAGATTGGGACATCCAGCCAGTCACGGTAGCTCGTGCTTGTAATCCTAACACTTTGGGAGGCTGACGTGGGAGGATTGCTTGAGGCCAGGAGATCGAGACAGGCCTTTGCAACATAGTGAGACCCGGGTTCTACAAAAAATAAAACGTTAGCCAGGTGCACACCATAGTCCCAGCTACTTGGGATTGCTTGAGCCCAGGAGGTTGAGGCTGCAGTGAGCCATTATCACACCACTGCCCTCTAGCCTGTGTGACAGAGACAAGACCCTGTCTCAAAAAAAACCTGTGACATCCTGTTTCCACTGGTCTCTCAGCCTTCTGGCTTATTAACTTAATGCGTATTGATATCATGAAGAGTAATTTCATCTGTTGCTCTGGCATCTTGGCTCTTAGGGATAACGTTCTAGCTTTCTAGACTGCTGTACTGGTTTACTCCCTCTCTTCTTTCTTGCCTTTTTTTTTTTTTGAGATGGAGTCTTGCTCTGTTGCCCAGTGTGGAGTACAGTGGCTGGGCTTGATCTTGGCTCACTGTGTCCTTCGCCTCCCAGGTTCAGGCAGTTCTCCTGCCTCAGCCTCCTAAGCAGCTGGGATTACAGGTGCACGCCACCATGCTTGCCTAATTTTTGTATTTTTAGTAGAGACAGGGTTTCACCCTGTTGACCAGGCTGGTTTTGAACTCCTGACCTCAGGTGATTCCCCCCTGCCTTGGCCTCCCAATGTGTTGGGATCACAGGTGTGAGCCACTGCACCTGGCCTCTTTTCTTTTCTTTTTTTTGTTGAGACAGAGTTGAACCCTGTTGCCCAGGCTGGAGTGCAGTGGTATGATCTTGGCTCACTGCAACCTCTGCCTCCTGGATTCAAGTGATTCTCCCGCCTCAGCCTCCTGAGTAGCTGGGATTACAGACGCATGCCACCACATCAGGCAAATTTTTTGTATTTTAGTTGGAGATGGAGATTCACCATGTTACCCAGTCTGGTCTCAAACTGCTAGGCTGAAATGATCCTCCCCACTTGGCCTTCTGAGTAGCTGAGATTACAGGTGCACGCCACAGCACCCAGCTATGTTTCCTTCCTTCCTTCCTTCCTTCCTTCCTTCCTTCCTTCCTTCCTTCCTTCCTTCCTTCCTTCCTTCCTTCCTTCCTTCCTTCCTTCCTTCCTTCCTTCCTTCCTTCCCTCCTTCCCTCCCTCCCTCCCTCCCTCCCTCCCCTCCCTCCCTCCCTCCCTCCCTCCCTCCTCCCTCCCTCCCTCCCTCCCTCCTTCCCTCCCTCCCTCCCTCCCTCCCTCCCTCTTTTTTTTTTTTTCCTGAGTCTTGCTTTGTCACCCAGGCTGGAATGCAGTGGTGCAATCTCACTGCAACCTCCCCCTCCCAGTTTCAAGCAATTCTCTGTCTCAGCCTCCCGAGTAGCTGGGATTACAGGTGCCCACTACCGTGCCTGGATAATTTTTGTGTTTTTAGTAGAGACAGGGGTTTCACCATCTTGGCCAGGCTGATGTTGAACTCCTGACCTCGTGATCCACCCGCCTCAGCCTCCCAAAGTGCTAGGATTACAGGCGTGAGCCACCGCACCCGGCCATCACCCAGCTATGTTTCTGCTAGTATTTAAAAATACTCACCTTTGGTTGGGTGCAGTGGCTCATACCTGTGCAGAGTCTCAAAAAAATAAAGAATAAAATATTCACTTTTATTTTCTGTGTCTTCTGAGGACCAAAGGGAAAATATGTGTCCTTTGGAGTTTTCTTCTGTGATATTTTAGCCACTTAATTCATTGGGAACCAACATTATAGCTGTATATTTGTGTGGGATAGATCTTCTGAAGGTTTTGTAAAATGTTTTTAATCTAGAAAGAGTATATTGTTTCAGTTTATTTTGATACATCATTGTGGTAGCTATTTGGTATCTTACATGGGAATTTGTATTATAATCTTGACTCTTCTTCTAGGTGCCTTATGCCTCTGGCATGCCCATCAAGAAAATAGGCCATCGAAGTGTTGATTCCTCAGGAGAGACAACATACAAAAAGGTGTGTCTGGATGGAACCTTCTCATCTTACTCCAGGAGCTCAGCAGCTTACTCTGGGAACTCAGTCTCCTTGAAATTACTCTCTACATACTGACTGTCCTGTTTCTTGGTATCCTAAGCTTTTGCGCGTAATACAGCTTAGACTTTAGAATTTATTTCTCAAAGGGTAAATTGTCTCCTTTGTGTATATGAATGTTTAAATGAGAATTTTTTTGGCTGGGCACGGTGCCCCAGGTCTGTAATCCCAGCACTTTGGGAACCCGAGGCAGGCAGATCATTTTAGGCCAGGAGTTCAAGACCAGCCTGGCCAACATGATCTAACTCTGTCTCTACTAAAAATACAAAAATTAGCCAGGTGGCATACGCTTGTGGTCCCAGCTACTCAGGATGTTGAGGCAGGAGAATCGCTTGAACCTGGGAGGTGGAGGTTGCAGTGAGGTCAGATTGTGCCACTGCACTCCAGTCTGGGTGACAGAACGAGACTCCATCTCAAAAAAAAAAAAAATTTTTTTTTTTTTTTTTTTTTTTTTTTTTGAGACGGAGTCTCGCTCTGTCGCCCAGGCTGGAGTGCAGTGGCCAGATCTCAGCTTACTGCAAGCTCCGCCTCCTGGGTTCCCGCCATTCTCCTGCCTCAGCCTCCCGAGTAGCTGGGACCACAGGCGCCGCCACCTCGCCCGGCTAATTTTTTGTGTTTTTAGTAGAGACAGGGTTTCGCCGTGTTAGCCAGGATGGTCTCGATCTCCTGACCTTGTGATCCGCCCGTCTCGGCCTCCCAAAGTGCTGGGAAAAAAAAATTTTTTTAGTGAACAAATCTGGCTTTGGTTGCTATTTTACTGAGCTGAAGAAACTGGGTTTCCCTGTTAGGTGTAAATATGTAAGAAGGCCATGAAAACCATTCTTATCTTACCATAGGGAGCCATGTCTCTCGCAGTCTTTCTGTCTTTTTCTCCATTGCTGGATATATATCAATAGAGGGCCAGGTCCCAGCCCAGCCTGTTTATACAAATATAGGCAATAGGTCAGATTTTTTTTCCTCTTTAATTTTTTTTAGAGCCAGGGTGTCAATCTGTCACCCAGGCTGGATTGCAGTGGCATGATCATAGGCAGGTAGCGGGAGGCTTCTGTAACCTCAGACTCCTTGGCTCAAGTGATCTTCCTGCCTCAACCTCCTGAGTAGCTGGGACTACAGGTGCACACCACCGCATGTGGATAATAAAAAATTAGTTTTATGAGATGATCTCACTGTGTCGCACAGGCTAGTGTCAAACTCCTGCCCTCAAGCATTCCTCCTGCCTAAACCTTCCAAAGTGCTGGAGTCACAGGGGTGATTGACCATGTCTTGCCTCCTTTTTTTCCCCACAAAGACAGTCATTTAGCTGGCGAATAGTACCTAGAACATCTGCTTTTTTGAGCTCTGAATATCAAATGGACTGGAAAGGAGCAGTAATAGTGAAAAAGTGGAAAGTGAGCTGGTGAAGGGAAAACAGAAGCATCCTGGATCCTTGAGGGATCCAAATTCTTGAGTTCTGGACTAATTTGCAGATGGTTTAGGCTTCCTGAGGGACAGTGTTCAGTCTCCCATTTAGCATCTGTAGTTTGTCTGATATGGGGTGTGAAGATTTCTTGGAGATATATTTCTGGCCTATGTAAATTTTGTGTTCGTTCTCTATTTCATTGTCCCAAGTAGCAGAGGTGGACTGACTCATTCTCAGTCAAGGACCTGACAGTCCCCAGAATGGGCTCTGAGGCTCATGCCAATTACTTTTACTGAGCTCTTCATTTAAAAATTTTTTTTTTTAAGAAATGGGATCTTGGCCGGGCGTGGTGGCTCAAGCCTGTAATCCCAGCATTTTGGGAGGCCGAGACGGGCGGATCAGGAGGTCAGGAGATCAAGACCATCCTGGCTAACACGGCGAAACCCCGTCTCTACTAAAAACACAAAAAATTAGCCGGGCGAGGTGGCGGCGCCTGTGGTCCCAGCTATACGGGAGGCTAAGGCAGGAGAATGGCGTAAACCTGGGGAGGTGGAGCTTGCAGTGAGCTGAGATTCGGCCACTGCACTCCAGCCCAGGCGACAGAGCAAGACTCCGCCTCAAAAAAAAAAGAAAGAAAGAAATGGTATCTTGCATTTGGGAGGCCGAGGCAGGTGGATCACCTGAGGTAAGGAGTCCAAGACCAACCTGACCAACATGGCAAAGCCCTGTCTCTACTAAAAATACAATAATTAGCCGGGCACGGTGGCGGGCATCTGTAATCCCAGCTACTCGGGAGGCTGAGACCTGAGAATAGCTTGAACCCGGGAGGCGGAGGTTGCAGTGAGCCAAGGTTGCGCCATTGTACTCTAGCTTGGGCAACAGAGCGAGACTCTGTCTCAAAAAATAAATAAATAAATAAGAGAAATGGGATCTTGCTCTGTTGCCCAGACTAGAATGCAGTGGGTGCGTTGATGGCTCACTGCAGCCTTGAACTCCTGGGCTCAAGCCATCCTCCTACCTTAGCCTCCAGAGTAACTGGGACTATAGGCCTCAGCCACCACATCTGGCTTATTTAGCTTTTTTATTTTATTTTATTTTATTTTTTTCTAGGGAGTTTTGCTCTTGCTGCCCAGGGTGGAGTGCAATGGCGCGATCTCCACTCACCACAACCTCCGCCTTCTGGGTTCAAGTGATTCTCCTGCCTCAGCCTCCCAAGTAACTGGGATTACAGGCATGCGCCACCATGCCTGGCTAATTTTGTATTTTTAGTAGAGATAGGGTTTCTCCATGTTGGTCGGGCTGGTCTTGAACTCCTGACCTCAGGTGATCTGCCTGTCTTGGCCTCCCAAAGTGCTGGGATTACAGGCGTGAGTCACAGCACTCGACCATTTAGCTCTTTTTTTTTTTTTTTTTTTTGAGACGGAGTCTTGCTCTGTCGCCTAGGCTGGAGTGCAGTGGCGCGATCTCGGCTCACTGCAAGCTCCGCCTCCCGGGTCACGCCATTCTCCTGCCTCAGCCTCCCCAGCAGCTGGGAGTACAGGCGCCCGCCACCACGCCTGGCTAATTTTTTTTTGTATTTTAGTAGAGACAGGGTTTCACCGTGTTAGCCAGGATGGTCTCAATCTCCTGACCTCGTGATCCGCCCATCTCAGCCTCCCAAAGTGCTGGGATTACAGGCGTGAGCCACCGCGCCTGGCCAGCTCTTTTTATATGTTGAATATTGAAATAAAAAGATGAGTTTCTATTCTAACTGGGGAGGCAGACACTTAAAAACAACAGTAATAATTTATTTTCCTTTGACCTATTTGTACATTAAGAAAACTATTTGTAGGCTGGGCGTGGTGGCTCACGCCTGTAATCCTAGCACTTTGGGAGGCCGATGCAGGCGGATCATGAGGTCAGGAGATCAAGACCATCCTGGCTAAGATGATGAAACCCTGTCTCTACTAAAAATACAAAATATTAGCCGGGCGTGATGGCAGGCGTCTGGTGTCCCAGCTACTTGGGAGGCTGAGGCAGGAGAATGGCGTCAACCTGGGAGGCGGAGCTTGCAGTGAGCCGAGATCACGCCACTGTACTCCAGACTGGGCGACAGCAAGACTCCGTCTGAAAAAAAACAAAAAAACAAACAAAACTAGTTGTAATTTAATGCCCATTGAGGACCAAGTAGAAATATAAGTAATGTCCGGTGGAGGTTGGGGATGAGGCAAATAGAGCAAAGCTGTCTAATCAAAGTTTCTGCAATGATTGAAATGTGCTGTATCTGTGCTATCCAATATGGTAGCTAAAAGCCACACTTGTAAGACTGAGGAAATAAGTTTTAAATTTAAATTAACTTAAATTTAAAGAGCCATGTGTACCTGGTGGCTACTGTTATCAGACAGCAAAGATCTAGATGATGCGATACTTTCCCACGGGCTTGGAATCCTGGATTGTAAGAGTGGGGCTCTTGCATTTGTGTTTTGACCGTAGTTTGATAATTCTAAATCTGAATACTACTCTCAGAAATAATTTGTCTTTCATGCTTTCTTCTTCAGTTAAGAGCTCTTTTACCACACTGTTGTCCTTTTGTTTGAGACAGTCTTGCTGTGTCACCCAGGCTGGAATATAGTGGTGTGATCTTGGCTCACTGCAGCCTCCACCTCCCAGCTTGAAGCAATTCTCCTGTCTCAGCCTTCCGAGTAGCCAGGACTACAGGTGCATACCACCTCACCCAGCTAATTTTTGTGTTTTTAGTAGAGACAGGGTTTTACCATGTTGGCCAGGCTGTTCTTGAACTCTTGGCCTAAAGTGATCTGCCCACCTCCGTCTCCCAAAGTGCTCGTATTAGAGGCGTGAGCCACCGCACCCACCCCACCTTTTTGTCCTTGAGACACTAGTCAGGCTCTTCCTTAGAGGACTGAAGTTTCTGCCACCAGGCAGTCAGATCAGAATATTAGTTAATTTTAGGGCTGGGCATGGTGGCTCATGCCCGTAATCCCAGAGCTTTGGGAGGCCTAGGCAGGTGGATCACCTGAGGTCAGGAGTTTGAGACCAGGCTGACCAACATAGTGAAACCCCATCTCTACTAAAAATATAAAGAATAAGTAAGGCATCATGGTGCATGCCTGTAATCTCAGCTACTTGGGAGGCTGAGGCATGAGAATCGTTTGAACTGGGGAGGCAAAGTTTGCAGTGAGCCGAGATGACGCTGCTGTACTCCATTCCAGCTTGGGTGACAGAGCGAGACTCATTCTCAAAAAAAAAAAAAAAAAAAAAAAAAACCACAAAAAAACCCAGGAATGTTGGTTAATTTTAGTTACATTCTGTATCAGATGAAGGAAATGTTTAGAGGGCTCCAGATACACTCTGGGGGCAGAAACCTTAGGAGTGGGAACTAACAATGTTCTGTCAATACTATGTGTCTTCCAAGTACAGATATGGAACTCTTGTTTAGGTGGGCCAACAGGAGCACCTTGCCTAGCTGAGGCTGGCTCAGAGAGTCCAGCTTTGCTACTCTGTATCCTCACTGTCCTTCCAATCTTTACTAAGCTTAATTGCAGAGTACAGCATAGGGATGGGGAGACTGGATTGTCCCAGTGTTATCTAAACTATTGCTCAGACTAAAGGACATTTGTTTTAAAGTGTTTCTTCTAGCTTCTCCCTTCTGAATTTTTATTGTTATGGTCCTACTTATACTAGGAATTTTCTTCTAATTTCTCTTGTTTCTCAGACAACTTCATCAGCCTTGAAAGGTGCCATCCAGTTGGGCATTACCCACACTGTGGGGAGCCTGAGTACCAAACCAGAGCGTGATGTCCTCATGCAAGATTTCTACGTGGTGGAGAGTATCTTCTTCCCCAGGTACAGAGTTTAATGTTCAGGAGCATGTCCTGGAAATGTGGCCTTTTCAAATCAGCCCAGGGCAGTTTTAGGGGTTCAGGTCTGACAGTTTAGGCATGTGTCCAATTCTTAACCTGGTTATAATCAGGGTGTTGTGGGACTAGAGAGTTCGGAGAGCAGATGCTGTCCTCTAGATGCTTCCATTAGCCTCTGTCCTATGGATTGACCTGTAAAACACAATCTCATGCATTGGATAGGAGGCAGTATGATTCCTTCTTATTCTTATGTCTTGCTGTCCATGCTGTGCCATTGTCTCACTAAGTAACTCATCTAAGGGCCCTGATTCTCTTAGGAAGAATGTATTCCCCCACTCCCCCGACCATGAGGTGACTCTTGAGTGTCTTCGCAAGGTAGATTTTCTGGATGATAGGGACTGGCAAGTTATGGCTACCTCTGTTTAACCCCACAGTGAAGGGAGCAACCTGACCCCTGCTCATCACTACAATGACTTTCGTTTCAAGACCTATGCACCTGTTGCCTTCCGCTACTTCCGGGAGCTATTTGGTATCCGGCCCGATGATTACTTGGTAAGCACCTGGATATCAGGACCCTGTGACTCCAGTATCAGAGGGATATTCCCAAAGGAAGGCCCCTTTTCTCCACAGTCTCGCTCTGGTTTTTATTTAGAAAAGAATTGCGTCTGTAGGTGATTTTTATGTTGGGCAAGGCCCTGATGTGTCTAAATCTCTTAGTTCTTCTCTGTTTGCCCCAGTATTCCCTCTGCAGTGAGCCGCTGATTGAACTCTGCAGCTCTGGAGCTAGTGGTTCCCTTTTCTATGTGTCCAGTGATGATGAGTTCATTATTAAGACAGTCCAACATAAAGAGGCGGAGTTTCTGCAGAAGCTGCTTCCAGGATACTACATGGTAAGGCAGAGAGAATCACTGTCCACCTGTGCTGCCCACTTCTGGGCAAGACTAGGGAGGTTGTCTTCAGCAGGGTAAAACTGTCAGCACTTCTATCTTAAGAACGTAGTACAGGCCGGGTGCAGTGGCTCACGCCTGTAATCCCAGCACTTTGGGAGGCCGAGGCAGGCGGATCATGAGGTCAGGAGATCAAGACCATCCTGGCTAACATGGTGAAACCTTGTGTCTACTAAAAATACAAAAAATTAGCCAGGCGTGGTGGCAGGGGCATGTAGTCTCAGCTACTCGAGAGGCTGTGGCAGGAGAATGGCGTGAACCCGGGAGGCGGAGGTTGCAGTGAGCCAAGATTGTGCCACTGCACTCCAGCCTGGGTGACAGAGCAAGACTCTGTCTCCAAAAAAAAAAGTGTAGTTCAGTTTTGTGCTTTTCACCCTATTTCTTTTGCCTCTCTATGGTAAAAGAGGTTTTGTTTATCTGTTCTATTTTAAGTGTTGCCAATCTCCTGGGCTCAAGTGATCCTCCCACCTCAGCCTCCCACGTAGTTGGGACTAAAGACACGCACCACCACGCTTGGCTAATTTTTGTAAACTTATTTTATTTTTTCGTGACAGAGTCTCGCTCTGTCATCTAGGCTGGAGTACAGTGGCGCAGTCTTGGCTCACTGCAACCTCCGCCTCCTAGGTTCAAGCAATTCTCCTGCCTCAGCTTCCTAAGTAGCTGGGATTACAGGCGTGCGCCACCACAGCAAGCTCATTTTTTTTTAGTAGAGACAGGGTTTCACCATGTTGGTCAGGCTGGTCTCGAACTCCTGACCTCGTGATCCGCCTGCCTCAGCCTCCCGAAGTGCTGGGATTACAGGCATGAGCCAGTGTGGCCGGCCTAATTTTTATACATTTTTAGTAGGATGAGGTCTTGCTATGTTGCCCATGCTGGTCTCAAATTCCTGAGCTCAAGTGATCCGCCTTTTGGCCTCCCAAAGTACTGGGATTATAGGCATGAGCTATTGCACCTGGCTGTTTTCGTCTTCTATTCTTAGTTCAGATTCTAGTTTTGGGAATGAAGTAGGTTATTTCCCTTGATAATACTCTCTGCAGCCTTACTGTGACTGATTGCTATTGGAGGTTCTGGAGAAGTTAGGTAATCCTTACCTGCCTTACTACCCTCAAGAATATACTATACCCAGGGCAGAGGGTGTCGTCTTCTCTTAAATCTCTCTGAAGAAATCTATCCATCTTACATTGGTATCCTGACTGATTTCTGTATTGGAGAGTCTGTGGCACAACTTGATGGTGAACTTATCATTGAAATAGATGTATAGGGAAATTTAAAGCATATATGATGTAGGTTTATGGGCAGACAGATTGTGTCTGAATCTCATATAGGAGATAAAGGGAGGATGGGTGGTAACTTTTGCCCTCAAGTTTCACTGAAAATCAGCTAAGTTGTTCTCCTACTTCTGTTTACTTTTGTGTTCTCAGAACCTCAACCAGAACCCTCGGACTTTGCTGCCTAAATTCTATGGACTGTACTGTGTGCAGGCAGGTGGCAAGAACATTCGAATTGTGGTGATGAACAATCTTTTACCAAGATCGGTAAAAATGCATATCAAATATGACCTCAAAGGCTCAACCTATAAACGGCGGGCTTCCCAGAAAGAGCGAGAGAAGCCTCTTCCCACATTTAAAGACCTAGACTTCTTACAAGACATCCCTGATGGTCTTTTTTTGGATGCTGACATGTACAACGCTCTCTGTAAGACCCTGCAGCGTGACTGTTTGGTGAGTTTGTTACTTAGACACCAAAAAATCTGAGTTACTAAAACAGCTTGATTGTTCTTAAGCATTAAGTTTGTGGGAGATGGGACTCTGTTCCTTAGCACCGTATGTCCTGGGCTGTATTTAAAATAACTTTTAATTAGTTCATTGCTATTCCTTTACAGTTTTTTTTTTTTTTTTTTTTTTTTGAGACGGAGTCTTGCTCTGTCCCCAGGCTGGAGTGCAGTGGCCGGATCTCAGCTCACTGCAAGCTCCGCCTCCTGGGTTTAGGCCATTCTCCTGCCTCAGCCTCCCGAGTAGCTGGGACTACAGGTGCCCGCCACCTCGCCCGGCTAATTTTTTGTATTTTTTTAGTAGAGACGGGGTTTCACCGTGTTAGCCAGGATGGTCTCGATCTCCTGACCTTGTGATCCGCCCGTCTCGGCCTCCCAAAGTGCTGGGATTACAGGCTTGAGCCACCGCGCCCGGCCTTCCTTTACAGTTTTGCTTTCTCCCCATTTATCCTCCCACAGTGGGATTTATTTCCTTCTCTAGCTAGCCTGGGCCTCATAGTCAAATGTTCTGCTTATTTTCACACCAGCATCATCCTTCCTCAGATTTTGGTCCTGGCTGCCAAATCCAAATTTATATTTTGGAAGCTGAGTGCTGCTGAAGAATATTATAGAAGCATATATACTGGCATCTCTACAGATTTATGATGTCCAACCCCACTTGGGCTTTCAATATCGTTCTTCAGTCCATTTGCTGTTGCTCTCAATAGGGATTTCACATGTTTGGCACTTAACCATTTTCTGACTCTCATCTCCCTAGCTTTGTTTCTTAACAAGCTACCTTAACTTTTTATCCTATTTCATCCTCTCATGCTGCACCTGTCATTAATAGATAAATGTATCTACGTTTTACTTTATTTTTTATTTTTTGAGACAAGTTTCACTCTTGTCGCCGAAGTTGGAGTGCAGTGGCATGATCTCGGCTCACTGCAATTTCTGTCTCCCAGGTTCAAGCGATTCTTCTGCCTCAGCCTCCCAAGTAGCTGGGATTACAGGCGCCCATCACCATGCCTGGCTAGTTTTTGTATTTTTCTTTTTTTTTTTTTTTTTTTTTTTTTGAGACGGAGTCTTGCTCTGTCGCCCAGGCTGGAGTGCAGTGGCGCGATCTCGGCTCACTGCAAGCTCCGCCTCCCAGGTTCACGCCATTCTCCTGCCTCAGCCTCCCAAGTAGCTGGGACTACAGGCGCCCACAACCGCGCCCGGCTAATTTTTTGTATTTTTAGTAGAGACGGGGTTTCACCGTGGTCTCGATCTCCTGACCTTGTGATCTGCCCGCCTCGGCCTCCCAAAGTGCTGGGATTACAGGCGTGAGCCACCGCGCCCGGCCGTTTTTGTATTTTTCGTAGAGACAGGGTTTCACCATGTTGGCCCGCTGGTTTTGAACTCCTGACCTCAAGTGATCTGCCTGTCTTGGCCTCCCAAAGTGCTAGGATTACAGGTGTGAGCCAGCGCACCCGGCCTAGATATCACTCTTGACCTCTGTACTCTTCTATCATGTGAACACTTCCCAGTGTTGCACATACTAAACTGTATTGTGTTTATTTTACATTTGTATCCCTTTCTAAATGTATAATGTCCTTGAGGACAGAAACTCTCTAATATCTTTATATCTCTGTAAGGAGGCATAGTGCCTACATGGTGGGGATTCAGTAAATGTTTAACTCAATTGAAGCTAGTCATATAAGGTCCTACCACAGATCTGTTCTGTCACAAAGTGTACTTTACCACAACCTCATTGTGGAATCTTCACAGCACAAATACGTATTCCTTGTTCTCTTGAGAAGGTAGTGTTCTCTTCATGGAGACATACATGGAAAGAACAAAGACAATCTTGTGGGCTAGGCAGTGGGACTTGGAAAAATTATGTTTACTCAAATGAGAGAAAGCTAAGGGTATGTAAATAAAGACTAACCAGGCTGGGCGCGGTGGCTAACGCCTGTAATCCCAGCACTTTGGGAGGCTGAGGCAGGCAGATCACCATGTCAGGCGTTCAAGACCAGCCTGGCCAACATGGTGAAACCCCAACTCTACTAAAAATACAAAAATTAGCTGGATGGGGTGGCACTGTAATCCCAGCTACTTGGGAGGCTGAGGCAGGAGAATCGCTTGAACCAGGAGTTGGAGGTTGCAGTGAGCCGAGATCGCAACATTGTACTCCAGCCTGGCTACAGAGCAAGACTCAGTCTCCAAAAAAAAAAAAAAAAAAAAAAGGGTGGGGGCATAAAATAAAATAAATAAATAAATAAAATCTAGCCAGAGGGGGGTTAACATACTTTTCTCCAGGGAAAAAAGTAGGAAGAGGCAAAGGATAATCCTGTGTTTAGCCTTACAGGTTCACTGTAAGGCTAAATTAAATAATTACATCATGAAAGCTGTCAAGCCAGGCGTGGTGGTTCATACGAATAGTCCCAGCACTTTGGAAGGCTGAGATAGGCAGGTCCCTTGAGTCTAGAAATTAGAGACCAGCTGGGCAGCATGGTGAAACCCTGTCTCTACGAAAAATAAAAAATTAGCCAGGTGTAGTGGTGTGTGCCTGTAGTCCCAGCTACTTGGGAGGCTGAGATAGGTGGATCCTTTGAGCCTGGGAGGTTGCAGCTACAGTGACCCGAGATCACATCACCGTACTGTAGCCTGGGTAACAGATTGAGACCCTTTCTCAAAAAAAACAAAAAAAATTGTGAGATCCTGCAAAATATTTTTATTTCTCCCAAGGCTCAGATCATGTTTTTTCCTTCCGTTAGGTGCTGCAGAGCTTCAAGATAATGGATTATAGCCTCTTGATGTCAATCCATAATATAGATCATGCACAACGAGAGCCCTTAAGCAGCGAAACACAGTACTCAGTTGACACTCGAAGACCAGCCCCCCAAAAGGCTCTGTATTCCACAGCCATGGAATCCATCCAGGGAGAGGCTCGACGGGGTGGCACCATGGAGACTGATGACCAGTGAGTGGGCTCAGGGCCACTAGGGAGGAGAACATAGGCCCACAGCACTTTTTCTTTTTCTTTTTTTTAGTTTCACTCTTGTTCAGGCTGTTGTGCAATGGCACGATCTCGGCCTACTGCTACCTCCACCTCCTGGGTTCAAGCGATTCTCCTGCTTCAGCCTCCTGAGTAGCTGTGATTATAGGCGCCCACCACCACACCCAGCTAATTTTTTGTATTTTAAGTAGAGACGGGGTTTCATCATGTTGGCCAAGCTAGTCTATGAACTCCTGACCTCAGGTGATCCACCCACCTTGGCCTCTCAAAGTGCTGGGATTACAGGCGTGAGCCACCGTGCCCTGCCATAGCACTTTTTCTTTAGGAAGGGACCCAGCTTCTGGAAAGGAGTTGCCTTGACTCAGCAGTTGGATCAGTAACATTAATGTTTACAGAAGTATAGAATGAGTTTGAATGAGCTTGCTTAATATGAAAGGAAAAGAAGATTAATTTCAGGTTTATAATGTATGTGGGAAGGAGAGCTATTCAAGAATTAAAGACTTAAAAAATTATAGTCTTAGATGCGTGTCTGCAAATTATATTAGAACTTTATTATCATTTTTTAATCTTTTTGTTAGTAATATATTAGAACTTAATAAAAAATAATTAATGGGCTGGGCACAGTGGCTCATGCCAGTAATCCCAGCACTTTGGGAAGCTGAGGCAGGTGGATCACTTGAGTCCAGGAGTTTGAGATCAGCCTGACCATCATGATGAGACCTCATCACTACAAAAAATCAAAAATTACCCAAGTGTGGTGGTGAACACCTGTGGTCCCCCCTACTGAAGAAGCTGATGAGGTAGAAGAATTGCTTGAGCCCAGGATGTCAAGGCTGCAGTGAGCCACTGTACATGCCACTGCACTCCAGCCTGGGCAGAGAGAATGAGACCCACCCTGTCTCAAAAAAAAAAAAAAATTATTACAGACTTCTTTGTGGAAGGCATCCTTCTTCATCATGGATCTATCTAGTAAGTGTAATTACTGAAATACCACAAATATTAGATTGTTTATTTTTTTAAGATATCCTGTAACATGACTCTCAAGAAGAGTGTCTTAGTGGGCATAAATTAAGATAGCAAAAGTACTGAAGTTGAATTAATTAGGAGAGCATTCCCAAAATTGCTGAGTAGTGGAATTTTAGATTCTCTTTGATGGAATCAGAGTGGAAGAGGTAGGCAAGGAGATTTGGAGAAAACTAGATTATAATACATACTCTAGAGAGTTCCTGGGGTTAGAGAAAGGATCTCATTTTCTCCTGTTTTTTAAATATATTTTTTTCTCTTTTTGTTTTCTTGATCACTTATTGTCTGATCTCCTGGTTTATGGAAGATGAGGCAGTTATGTTTAGGTTTCACTTCCCTGTCCTGATCTGACTAAACTAGCCAACAGATTTTCTCACCCTTTCCTTTTTGCCTTTTCCAGTATGGGTGGCATCCCTGCCCGGAATAGTAAAGGGGAAAGGCTTCTGCTTTATATTGGCATCATTGACATTCTGCAGTCTTACAGGTGAGGAGCATATGGATCCCAAATTAAGAGAGGGTGGATACAGATAACCACTCATGTTTCTCTTTTAGATGGGTTTGTTGCCAAGTTCTTCCGGAAGCAAGAATAGTGAGTTGCAGTCTGGCTACTTACTTCATTAGTTTTCAGATGGTTTATTTCCTTGATTTTGCCCCTTTCCCCAGCCTTTACAACCCTCCCTTCCCCATCTCCCCAGACATAATGTATACCTTCTGTGGAAAGCTGAGTCAGTCTTGGAAGCACCAGGGTGGAATATGCCATCTGTCTGGCTCTTTGCAAAAACCTATGAGATGAGTCATGCTCCACATTGGGATACAGCTAGAAACGTTGCCCTTTTCCATGGAGGAAAAACAGGAGGGTCACTGTGTTCTGTAAAAAGTATCAGCCTGTGGAACTAAGAGGCAGTGAAGTGATCACCAGGGAGGAGCTGGAAATGTTAGACCCCGGTTTTGTTCCTGTAAGGTTTTAAGTACTAATGAGGACTGGACAGTACTTGGTTTGTTGGTTCAGTATTATCATCCAGTTTTAACTACCCTTTCCAGTCTTGCCCATCTGTTCCTTCAGCTCTCCTTTTATAATAAATATTCATGTTCCTGATTTGCCAGGGACATAAATTGCCCTTTTCCCATGGGGGAATAATTGACTTACCTAGAAACAACATTGGTCTCCATGATGACCCAGCACTGCTGTGTCTGTTCTTGGGAAAACCAGTGTACCAGCAGATGTGCTTTCTCAGCTTCTGTCTTTTGAAGGTTTTCTATTAGCCCTTTAACCCCCTAAAATATAAAGTTATTAAGATCATTTATTGAAAAATGACATGAGGAGGTGATGTACATTTTTCTTGCAGGTTTGTTAAGAAGTTGGAGCACTCTTGGAAAGCCCTGGTACATGACGGGGTAAGTAGCAATACTAGAGGCTCTCTTACCCACTTCTGCCTCCATCACTTCTGATTGGCCTCCTCAGTTTCTTGCAATTTTTTTCTTTTTTTTTTTTTTTTTGAGACAGGGTCTTACTCTGTCACCCAGGCTGGAGTGCAGTGGCATGATCTCGCTTACTGCAACCTCCGTCTCCCAGTTTCAAGTGATTCTCCTGTCTCAGCCTCCCGAGTAGCTGGGACTACAGGCACACGCCACCATGCCCAGCTAATTTTTGTACTTTTAGTAGAGACGGGGTTCCACCATGTTGGTCAGGTAGGTCTCAAACTCTTGATCTCAAAGTGATCTGCCCACCTTGGCCTCCCAAAGTGCTGGGTTGAGGCGGAGTCTTGCTCTGTCACTCAGGCTGGAGTGCAGTAGCATGATCTCAGCTCACTTCAACCTCCACCTCCCAGGTTCAAGCGATTCTCATGCCTCAGCCTCCCATGTAGCTGGGATTACAGGTACCCGCTACCATGCCTGACTAATTTTTGTATTTTTAGTAGAGATGAGGTTTTGCCATGTTGAACAGGCTGGTCTCGAACTCCTGACCTCAGGTGATCTGCCCACCTCGGCCTCCCAAAGTGCTAGGATTACAGGCGTGAGCCACCATGCCCGGCCTTTTCCATTTATTTCATTTGTGGGTTTTACCCTTCTGCTAGGGGCTCAGTCTGGGGGAAGATAGCCCTTGGACTAAAGGTCCTCTTGCTGGGCCTCCCTCTAACTCTATAGCATTTCTTCTGCTCTGCAGGACACTGTCTCAGTGCATCGCCCAGGCTTCTACGCTGAACGGTTCCAGCGCTTCATGTGCAACACAGTATTTAAGAAGATTCCCTGTAAGTGGTTTCTACCAAGTGACTGCCTACTCTGACCAGTGGCTCCCTTACCCCAAGAGAACAGAGGGCAGGACACCTCTGGTAGGGAGCTGCCAACGCCAGAGGCCTCTCCTCCCACCTACATCCCATGAGAGCCATTTCTTACCCTTTGTGTTAGTCAGTCTGTCACAGTCGTTTCCAAGTTGCTGTTTCCCCCTTGGCTCTTCCTGCATATGTCAATGAGGTGAGGGCCATTTCTGGGGAACTGGGATTTGCAAAAAAAAAAAAAAAAAAAAAGTGTAGTTGTGGATGTAGGATCCATGCCACAGAGATAGGCAGAGCCAGACTTTTATGTACAGAGATATGCAATGAGGTTACCAGTGTTCTGTTTTATCTTCTAGACTATCTCAAGTGGTTAGAGAAGCATTTACTGATTTCTGCTTAGCACATGTTTTGTTCTCTTTCCTCAACTTTCTTGTTTAGAAAGTGCCAATATTCTTTTTTTGCAAGTCTTCCATGCTGCTGCCACAGCAAATTCTAACTTCTCTTTCCCTTCTTCTCCTATTAGGCATCATTAGTCACATGGCAAGGGAGAGGGGACCTAGGCATGCCAGATAGTCTTAAGGGATATGGAAAAACCAGGCTGGGTGCAGTGTCTCACACAATCCCAGCACTTTGGGAGACCAAGGCAGGAGGATCAGTTAAGCCCGGGAGTTTGGAACCAGCCTGGGCAACATGATGAGACCTCATCTCTACAAAAAATTTTAAAAAGATAAGGAAAAAAATCATTTCAATCTTTACAAAATGATAAATATACAAGGGTCAATTATTTAGTGCTGGGCACATACGTGCTAAGAAGATGTAGAGTGAAAGTGTTACCTTTCTTGACCGGGCACGGTGGCTCATGCCTGTAATCGCAGCACTTTGGGAGGCCAAAGCAGGTGAATCACCTGAGGTCAGGAATTCGAGAAGTCTGACCAACATGTTGAAACCCCGTCTCTACTAAAAATACAAAAATTAGCCGGGTGGTGGTGCGCACCTATAAACTCAGCTACTCAGGAGGCTGAGGCAGGAGAATCACTTAAACCTGGGAGGAAGAGGTTGCAGTGAGCTGAAATAGGGCCATTGCACTCCAGCCTGGGTGACAGGAGAGAAACTTCATCTCAAAAAAAGTTCTTAGGTTTTACTATAGGATACTATTAAAGAAAAAAGGGGGCCAGGCGCAGTGGCTTACGCCTGTAATCCCAGCACTTTGGGAGGCCGAGGCGGGCGGATCATGAGGTTAGGAGATTGAGACCATCCTGGTAACATGGTGAAACCCCTCTCTACTAAAAATACAAAAAAAAAATTAGCCTGGCATGGTGGTGGGCGCCTGTAGTCCCAGCTACTTGGGAGGCTGAGGCAGGAGAATGGCGTGAACCCGGGAGGCGGAGCTTGCAGTGAGCCGAGATCGCGCCACTGCACTCCAGCCTGGGCGACAGAGTCAGACTCCATCTCAAAAAAAAAAAAGGAAAAGAAAAAGTGGGCGGGGGAAGTGGCACACACCTGTAATCCCAGCACTTTGGGAGGCAGAGGTGGGTAGACCACCTGAGGTCAGGAGTTCGAGACCAGCCTGACCAATATGGTGAAACCCCGTCTCTACTAAAAATACAAAATTAGCTAGGCATAGTGGCGCATGCCTGTAATCCTAGCTACCCAGGAGGCTGAGGCATGAGAATCACTTGAACTCTGGAGGCGGAGGTTGCAGTGAGCCAAGATTGCGCCACTGCACTCCAGCATAGGCAAACGAGCAAAACTCCATCTCAAAAAAAAGGAATAATGCATTAGGGTACGTTTCATCTGATGGAAGTAGAGCAGCTGTCAAGGCTCCATGTTGGAGGGGTAGGTGTGGATATGTTTCCTTTCCTCTAGGTTTTATGCCTCTTGGAAAGTGAAGTGAGCTAACACCTTGTTCTCCGAATAGTAGTTCATAGAGCCCATCTTTGTTGACATTAGCTTTTTCACTTTTCAGACCAACTTTGGGTGTGTGTTGGGGATACTAGCAATTACTTGTATGGATGTCTTGGTAATGGTTGCTAAGGTGGTTGCTAAGTAGGCTCTCTCTTTCCCTTTTGAAGTGAAGCCTTCTCCCTCCAAAAAGTTTCGGTCTGGCTCATCTTTCTCTCGGCGAGTAGGCTCCAGTGGCAACTCCTGCATTACTTACCAACCATCGGTCTCTGGGGAACACAAGGCACAAGTGACAACAAAGGCGGAAGTGGAGCCAGGTCAGCACTATGGCTGGGGTCTCCACGTGATGGGGTGCTCCTTCCCTTCCTTCTGAGCCTTTACCTTGTCTGGCTAGGACCTCTGCTCCCATTTCTATCCAGGAAGCCAAGCTGCTACATATTTTTCCTTGTATTTACCGTACCCCATCTTCTCTTTCTTTTTTCTAGGCGTTCACCTTGGTCGTCCTGATGTTTTACCTCAGACTCCACCTTTGGAGGAAATCAGTGAGGGCTCACCTATTCCTGACCCCAGTTTCTCACCTATAGTTGGAGAGACTTTGCAAATGCTAACTACAAGGTTTGTTTATTGGCCCCTTTCTCCATATAATCTTATCTCTCTTTTCAAGTCCTTGGAAACCTCTATAATATGATTGCATCGTAATAAATTACCCCAAGGGTTAGTGGCTTAAAATAACAAACATATATCATACTTTCTGTGGGTCAGGAATCCAGGCCCAGCTTAGCTGGGTCCTCTGGCTCAAGATTTCTCATGAGGTGGCATTTAAGCTGTTGGCCAGGGCTAGGGTCTCATCTGAAGGCTCAAATAGGAGAATCTGCTTCTAAGCTTATTTATGTGGTTATGGGTAGGATTTTGTTCCTTGTGGGTTGCTGAACTGAAGGCCTTAGTTCCTTGCTGGCTGTTGTCTGGGGGCTTCCCTCAGTTCTTTGCTACATGGACTTCTCCATAGGACAGCTCAGAACATGGCACCTGGCCTATCTGACAGTGAACGAGAGAGTATGTGCCTGTGCAGAAACCATAGCCTCTTATAAGTTAATCTCAGAATTGACATTCTACTACTTGTGCTATATTCTGTTCACTAAATGCAGCCCACACTCAAGAGGTAGGGATTACCCAGAGGTGTGAATACCAGGAGGCGCAGGGATCATTGTGAGCCATCTTAGAAACTGCTTGTCATAGTCTGCCCTCTGGTCTCCAGAAATTTACATACCTCCATGTCCAAAATAAACTGACCCCTTCCAGGATCTCCAGAAGTTTCATCCCATTGTAGCATGAGCTCAAAGTCCAGAGTTTTATTACTTAAATTAGGTCCAGGTTTGGATGAGCCCCCCAGGTATAGTTCCTTAAGCACAGCTCCTCACGAACAGTTCTTCTCAATCTGTGAACTTGTGGAACTAACGAGACAGTTATTCTTTCCCTGTGTACCTAGCACACAGTGGTGAGACAGGCATTAGATAACCAATATACACATTTCTGTACATAAAAGAGGAGAATGGGAGGCACAAAAAGGAGTCATTGATTTTATTAGCTGTTCCAAAATCCAGGAAATGTTGGAGTTTCTTTTATTAGGCCTCAAAGCAGAATAATTCTCCATGGTTCTTGGCTCTACCCTCTAGACTCTTGGTTTTGTCTTTTGAGTCTTCCTTTTTCATCAAAGCTAGAGTGTATTTTTACCTGAGTTCTTTTCTCAGCCTGCTTCTTTCCAGTAGAATTTTGGGGGAACTAGTGGTCTCTTTATTTTGTACTGTTTGTCTTTTTTGATCCAAGGTGGCAGTGTTTCTACTGATACAGAAGATTTTGTGGGCCTCCTGTGATTCACTTTTTTTTTTTTTTGAGACAGAGTCTCGCTCTGTCGCCCAGGCTACAGTGCAGTGGCACGATCTCAGCTCACTGCAAGCTCCGCCTCCTGGGTTCACGCCATTATCCTGCCTCAGCCTCCCGAGTAGCTGGGACTACAGGCGCCCGCCACTTCGCCCGGCTAGTTTTTTGTACTTTTTAGTAGAAATGGGGTTTCATCATGTTAGCCAGGATGGTCTCGATCTCCTGACCTTGTGATCCGTCTGTCTCGGCCTCCCGAAGTGCTGGGATTACAGGCTTGAGCCACCGCGCCCGGCCGAGCCTCCTGTGATTCTCCTTGGGATTTACTCCATTAGACAAAAGCCACACTCATAAATATCTTCTTCATGAGACCTAAGCTTACAGACCCTGCTTTTCGGTTGAAAGGATCTGTGAAACATAATCTTTTGAACAGCCTTTTGTATGACTGAATAGCGCAATCAGCCCTCCATATCCACAGGTTCCACATCCCAGATTCAACCAACTGTGGACTGAAAATACTTGAGAGCCTGGTATGGTGACTCATGCCTGTAATCCCACCATTTGGGAGGCTGAGGTGGGAGGATTGCTTGAGGCAGTTTGAGACCAACCTGGTCAATAAAATGAGACCCCCGTCCCTTAAAAAAAAAAAAAAAAAAGAAAAAAAAGAAAAGAAAAAATAGTGTAAAAAAAAAAAAAATTCCGAAAATGTTATGTTGTTGCTGACATGTACTGTACAGTTAGGCCTACAATGGTTGTGTCTGTACTTAACATGTACAGAATTTTCTTGTCATTATTCCCTGAACAATGCAGTATAACAGCTATTTACATAGTATTTACATTGCATTAGTTATTATAAATAATCTAGGAATGATTTAAAGTATATGGAGGGCCAGGCGTGATGGCTCACACCTGTAATCCCAACACTTGTGGGAGATAGAGGCGGCCAGATTACTTGAGCCTAGAAGTTTAAGATCAGCCTGAGCAACATGGTGAAATCCCGTCTCTACCAAAAATATAAAAAAATCAGCTAGGCGTGGTGGTATGTGCCTGTAGTCCCAGTTACTCAGGAGGCTGAGGCAGGAGGATCGCTTGAACCCAGGAGGCAGAGGTTGCAGTGAGCTGAAATCGTGCCGCTGGACTCCAGCCTGGGTGACAGAGCGAGACCCTTTCTCAAAAAAATAAATAAAAATAAAGTATATGAAGGATGTGCATAAGTTATATGCAAATACTATACCATTCTATGTAAGGGACTTGTGCTTGTGGATTTTGATATTCAAGGAGAGGTTCTGGAACCAGTTCCCCACAGATACTGAGGGCTGACTATACTCTGAACCAATACCTTTTGTTTTTCTGAGGTCTTATTGAAATGTTTCACAGTCACGTTTGGCTTCATCTTTATTTTATTTTATTTTATTTTATTTTTTTGAGACGGAGTCTTGCTTTGTCACCCAGGCTAGAGTGCAGTGGCAGGATCTCAGCTCACTGCAAGCTCCGCCTCCCAGGTTCACGCCATTCTCCTGGCTCAGCCTCCCGCGTAGCTGGGACTACAGGCGCCTGCCACCTCGCCCGGCTAGTTTTTTGTATGTTTTAGTAGAGACGGCGTTTCACCATGTTAGCCAGGATGGTCTCGATCTCCTGACCTCGTGATCCGCCCGTCTCGGCCTCCCAAAGTGCTGGGATTACAGGCTTGAGCCACCGCGCCCGGCCTGGCTTCATCTTTAGACCACATTTTCTTGGCAGTGCCCTGGAGCTTATCCTTGCTCAAAAGCCTTTTTTTTTTTGGGCGGGGGTAGACATGATGTCTCACTGTGTTAACCAGGCTGGTCTTAAACAGTCCTCCTCCCTCTGCCTCCTAAAGTGAGCCACAGTATGTGGCCTATCATTTCTTAATTTTAGCATCGTTTGCTCTCTGGAGAGGCTTAGAATTTTCAAAACCTATCAAGTTCTGGTATTTTTGTTTAATAGTCCTTCCCATAATTTCTTTCTGTTCTCTTACATTTTACTATAAGCATCAAGAGAAAACCAGGTGGCACCTTCAGGACTTTGCTTGGAAATCTCCTTAGCTAGATTGTCCAATTCTTTAGGCACATATTCTACTTTTCACATAATCACAAATCACATTGTTGCTAAACTTTATGCTGCTACCTTACTAGGATCTCCTTTCCTTCAATTTCCAATAAAATTTTTCTCAGTTTAAGCCCTCACTGGTAACCCCATTTAAGTCCAAAATTCTATAAACAGCATATTCAGGACACTAACTTTTCACTAAAATGCTCCTCCAAGCCACCCCCAATGTTTTGTTTTGTTTTTGTTTTTTGAGATGGAGTCTCACTCTGTTGCCCGGGCAGGAGTTCAGTGGCACGATCTTGGCTCACTGCAATCTCCGCTGACAGGGTCTCCCTCTGTCCCCCAGGCTAGAATGTAGTGGCACTATCTTGTTTATTGCAACTTCCACCTCCCAGATTCAAGCAATTCTCCTACCTCAGCCTCCCGAGTACCTGGGATTATAAGCATGCACCATCATGCCTGGCTAATTTTTGTATTTTTGATAGAGACGGGGTTTTGCCATGTTCCTCAGGCTGGTCTTGAGCTCGTGGCCTCAGGTGATCTGCCTGCCTCAGGCTCCCAAAGTGCTGGGATTGCAGGCATGAGCCACCGCACTGGGCCACCACCCCCAAATTTTAGATTTTTGTTACAGCAGCACCTCAATTCCAGGTGCAAAAATCTGTATTATCTATTATTGTGTAACAAATTACCCCAGACTTAGCTGTCAAAAACAAACATTTGTTATCTCAGTCCGAGTGTGGTGGCTCACACCCGTAATCCTAGCACTTTGGGAGGCCAAGGAGGGCGGATCACCTGAGGCCAGGAGTTCAAGACCAGCCTGGCCAACATGGTGAAACCCTGTCTCTACTAAAAATGTAAAAAATAGCCAGGCGTGGTGATGCGTGCCTATAATCCCAAATACTCAGGAGGCTGAGGTGAGAGAATTGCTTGAACCCGGGAGGCAGAGGTTGCAGTGAGCCATAATTGTGCCACTGCACTTCAGCCTGGGCAACAGTGAGATCCGTCTCAAAAAGAAAACAAAAATTTGTTATCCCAGTTTCTGTACCTTAGCTGGATGCCTTTGGCTCGGGTTCTCTCTGGAGATTACAGTCAAGCTATTAGTCCAAAAGCTTATCTGAGGGAAGATCAGGTTCTCAGCTCACTTACATGGTTGTTGGCAGTATTCGGTTCCTTTGTCACATCGCCCTCTCCATAGCCAGCTCTTAGCATAGGAGCTGAATTTCCTCAGAGCAGGCAAGCAGGGGCTAGAGCATGAGTCCAAGAAGAAGCTATGATATTTTTATAATCTCATCTCCGAATTGACATTCCGTCTCCTGTGCCGCATTCTGTCCAGGAGAAGAGAATCACTAAGTGCAGCCTACACTAGAGAGGGGAGAGAATTACACAATGGCATGGATCTCAGGAGGCAGGGATTATTGGGGGGAATCTTAGAGAGTACCTACCACATCTGGAGATTGAAACAGAAGAGGGCAGAGTACTGGGAAATGTTTTATAGTATTCAAGAAGCCAAATATAGTTAATTAAAACAGTGTGCTTTGCCAGGAGCTATGGCTCATGCCTTTAATCCCAGCACTTTGGGAGGCCGAGGCGGGTGGATCACAAGGTCAGGAGATCGAGACCATCTTGGCTAACATGGTGAAACCCCGACTCTATTAAAAATACAAAAAAAAAATTAGCTGGGTGTGGTGGTGGACGCCTGTAGTCCCAGCTACTCAGGAGGCTGAGGCAGGAGAATGGCGTGAACCCTAGCAGAGCTTGCAGTGAGCAGAGATCGTGCCACTGCACTCCAGCCTGGGTGACAAAGCGAGACTCTGTCTCAAAAAAAAATAAATAAAACAGTGTGCTTCAAAATCTAGTAGCTTCTTAGCCTCTTCTTTCCAAATTCTAAATTGATTCTGAAGTGAAAATTAGAGAAGCAGTATGAGATTTAAGAGGGGAGTCCTTTGTTGTTGTCTTCTAATTCTTTTTCTCTCTGCTTCTGTTTTTTTTTCGCCTGTTAGTACAACCTTGGAAAAGCTTGAAGTTGCAGAGTCAGAGTTCACCCATGTGAGTGTCTGGGATGTGTGGGAGGTGAACGTTTTGCAGGGTATAAAGAGGATCACTCATGGCCTGGAGCAGGAAGTTAATTGGCAAGATTAGAGGAGCTGGGTACCTCCTAAATCTTGTTTTTTAATTTTTATTTTGTTTTTATATATATATATATATATATATATTTTTTTTTTTTTTTTTTTTTTTTTTTTTTTTTTGAGATGGAGTCTCGCTCTGTCGCCCAGACTGGAGTGCAGTGGCGCAATCTCGGCTCACTGCAAGCTCCGCCTCCCGGGTTCACGCCATTCTCCTGCCTCAGCCTCCCGAGTAGCTGGGACTACAGGCCCCCGCCACTGCGCCCGGCTAATTTTTTTCTATTTTTAGTAGAGACGGGGTTTCACCATGGTCTCGATCTCCTGACCTTGTGATCCGCCCGCCTCGACCTCCCAAAGTGCTGGGATTACAGGCGTGAGCCACCGCGCCCGGCCTATTTATATATTTTTTTGAGATGGAGTCTCACTCTGTTGCCCAGGCTGGAGTGCAATGGTGCAATCTTGGCTCACTGCAACCTCCGCCTCCTGGGTTCAAGCGATTCTCCTGCCTCAGCCTCATGAGTAGCTGGGATTACAGGCGCATGCCACCATGCCCGGCTAATTTTTGTATTTTTTAGTAGGGGCACGGTTTCATCATATTGGACAGTCTGGTCTCGAACTTCTGGTGTCGTGAGCACAGGTGTGAGCCATTGCACCCAACCATCGTGTTTGTTTTGTTTTGTTTTTTTGAGACTGAGTCTCGCTCTGTGGAGTGCAGTGGCCTCTCAAAGTGCTGGGATTACAGGCATGAGCTACCGCGCTTGGCCGCCATCTTGTTTTTTTAAAAATATCTTTGGTACCTGATACTTGGAGGCTGAAGCTGAAATAGAAACTTCTTAACGCTTGAAATCCATTCCTGCTTAGTCTCATACTCCACATCCTTAACTTTACACTCTCCTTTTACAGTAAGCGCAAAGCCTCAGAAGACCTGGAATAAGATTCTGCCATCTCTGTGATCCCGAGATGTGTCAGGCCTTGCCCCATCAATGCTGAATTTTCTTCTACTTGGTCATCAAAAAAGGAGTGTAATAGAAGCGAGGGGAGCTCCTCCTCCATCTTCTTACTGAAGAAGAACCTCCTCTCCTTCCCCTTCCTCATGAATGGGCATTAGTGCCTCAGACAGTTGAGGACCGAAGCATCCCCTCCACTCCAGAGTTGGGTGGTACGGATTTTCAACTGGCTAACCCTTGGCCTCCACAATTGAATTTTTTTCAGACCCCCATTCTTCATGCTGGAAATGGGATTGCTGTACTTGGCAGTTTTCTTTCCCCTCATCTTTGACCAGGAACTGGACTTTTAGTTTCCTCAGGACAGACTAGCTGGCACATTATCTCCACCTTAGTTCTTTCTCCCTGATCCCTGGAAGAATACCCCTGTAATCTCTGTAAAGGTTTTTGGGGGGATAAGGGAGTTTAACCACCTCTCAGCGTTCTTTTTTTTTTTTTTTTTTTTTTTCCCTGAAAAAAGGAAAAAGCGCACAGCACACAGTTTCAAGCCAGCTTCAGATCAAAACTCCAGAAGTGTTGACAAGATGCCTATTCGTAGGGTTCCCTCAGAAGAGCCATGGTGTTTGTGAAGAGAAGAGTAGTGATTGCTCTGCCAGAAGCAGCTCCTCTTTAAGCTCCACCTTTCTTGATGAATTTCTTAAGGCTGAAGGAATGGAGAGTGGGACATGGGGTAATCTTTACCCCTTTTGTTAAAACAGGAGGCAGCCATGGGCTGGGAGATCATAGCCCTTCCTAGGCAGAATCCTGTTCACTGCCAAGCTATAATAATTATTACTATTTTGCAATTTGAAATATATTCTGGTTGATTTTCTTTTTTTTTTTTTTTGAGACGGAGTCTTGCTCTGCCGCCCAGGCTGGAGTGCAGTGGCCGGATCTCAGCTCACTGCAAGCTCCGCCTCCCGGGTTCACGCCATTCTCCTGCCTCAGCCTCCCGAGTAGCTGGGACTACAGGCGCCCGCCTCCTCGCCCGGCTAGTTTTTTGTATTTTTTTAGTAGAGACGGGGTTTCACCCTGTTAGCCAGGATGGTCTCAATCTCCCGACCTCGTGATCCGCCCGTCTCGGCCTCCCAAAGTGCTGGCATTACAGGCTTGAGCCACCGCGCCCGGCCTTCTGGTTGATTTTCTAAATGTGAAGACTTACTAAATGAATTTTAGATCATTCTCCAAAGGAGATTTTTTTGCTCTTCTCATCTTTTCCAACAGTGTTCTCCTGTTTGTGGAGCTAAGGTGAAGAGGGGACACCTGTCTGTTTTATCAGGCAGTCCGTATCTATGAGACCAGGAAATATTTTCTTAAACTCATGGGGAGACAGCAGATTCTTGCCTTGGTGAGGTCATTGCTGTGCCATATGTCCTACCCCCCTGTCTTCATGCAGGGAAGTTGGAAATGGGGGCTACATATGCTCTCTCCTCCCCATCTACAAGAGTTGTGGTTTTCCATCTGATTCTTCCACTCTTGTCAGGGGAAGAAGGGGGCCTGGTATCTCAGGCAGATTGTTGAATTCTTGTTCTATCCCTTCTCTATCCCACCCTGCCTTGATAATATGTTAGCCCATACCCCAAATAACTGTCTATATTAGACACCCCCAGCCAGTTTCTGGCTGCCTGTCTTTGCTGCCATGTTCTTTTTTACAAGAAGGAAAGAGTTCTTGCTATTTTTTTTCATAATTTACTATTTATGATGTATTTAAGTGTTTTATTAAGGACACAGTTCTGTTAGGGGTGGGAGGGAATATTTAAGGGAGGGCTGGGTCTTAGGGAAAGGAATGGGGAATCAACATTTTTATGAAGTGTCACTATTTGCCTTTACTTTGTATTGTTCAGAAATGGCAAATACAATATAAAAGTGATACATGGTTTTAATGTAATAAACTTTAATCGGTTATTTAGATCTCTTATTTCTTCTGATTCTTTTTCATATACCATCTGCTCACACTCCTTCTCCACCACCCAGGCTCAGTTTTGTTCGTGTTGCCCTAAACAAAGGCTGCATACTTTCCAGCTTGCAACACTGCAGCTTCACTCTTAAGGCTTTATGTCCGTATGTCCTCTTCCTCAGCAACCCCATTGTCTTCACAAGGAAAAGCGGTGAATGAATATGAGGGGAATTACTGTAGGTCTCTTGCCTAGGTTGCAACCCAGTTTAACAGGGATTTGGAGATTCAAAACTCATTTTACTCAGGTTTAAGAAGAAAGGAGAGGGACAGTGGGAAAAGTAAGTTTGAGGTTGCTGGCCTTAGTGATTCCCTCCCTTTCATTCCCTTGACCTGGCCCTAGGGTGTCACTCTTAGAAGATCATAGAGATTGCAATGCATGGAGTAGTTGGAGATCAAAGAAATAATTGTCCTTCAAGAGTTTCTAGTTTCCGGGAGGAACACAAATACACGAAAACAATGTATTATATGTGAGACAGCTACTTAAGCTATCTGAAGGTGGCACAGAACATAAAAGGGGGAAAAATTGACAGTTATGTGGGATGAAAGTGTTAGAGAATGTTTCACTTCCAGCACAAGGACTAGATGCACGAGAATGGCCTGTTTTTGAGAACAAGGAAGAGATCATGGTGAGAATATTGGAATAGGTATAGTTAGAGGCAATATTGGGAACCCTGAAATATTTTTTGCCCCAATAGGATGTGATACAAAATAATTGAGAGACTAACAAAGTTTCATCAGAATTAATAGAGGATTGGCCGGGTCCAGTGGCTCACATCTGTAATCCCAGCACTTTGGGAGGCCAAGGCAAGTGGATCACTTGAGGCCAAGAGTTAAAGAGCAGCCCGGTCAACAATGTGAAACCCCATCTCTACTAAAAATACAAAAATTAGGCCAGGTGTGGTGGCTCACACTTGTAATCCCAGCACTTTGGGATGACGAGGTGAGCAGATCACCTGAGGTTGGGAGTTTGACCAACATGGAGAACCAACATGACCAACATGGAGAAAACCCGTCTTTACTAAAAATAGAAAAAATTAGCTGGGCGTGGTGGGTGCACGCCTGTAATCCCAGCTACTTAGGATGCTGAGTCAAGACAATCTCTTGAACCTGAGAGGCAGAGGTTGCGGTGAGCCAAGATTGAGCCATTGTACTCCAGCCTGGGCAACAAGAGCGAAACTCCTTCTCAAAAAAAAAAAAAAAATTAGCCAGGCATGGTGGCAGGTGCCTGTAATCCCAGCTACTTGGGAGGCTGAGACAGGAGAATCACTTGAACCCGGGAGGCAGAGGTTGCAGTGGCTGAGATTGCACCATTCATTGCATTCCACCCTGGCAACAGAGGGACACACTGTCTCAAAAAAAAAAAAAAAAAAAGGAAAGGCACGTACTTGGATTGGAAGAGGAATGGGGATTCTCAAAGTTTCTTTTTCTTTCTTTTTTTTTTTTTTTTTTTTTTTTTTTTTTTGAGACGGAGTCTCGCTGTGTCGCCCAGGCTAGAGTGCAGTGGCCGAATCTCAGCTCACTGCAAGCTCCGCCTCCCGGGTTTACGCCATTCTCCTGCCTCAGCCTCCCGAGTAGCTGGGACTACAGGCGTCCGCCACCTCGCCTGGCTAAGTTTTTGTATTTTTTAGTAGAGACGGGGTTTCACCGTGTCAGCCAGGATGGTCTCGATCTCCTGACCTCGTGATCCGCCCGTCTCGGCCTCCCAAAGTGCTGGGATTACAGGCTTGAGCCACCGCGCCCGGCCTCTTTCTTTTTTTTTTTGAGACAGTTTCACCATGTTTGCCAGGTTGGTCTCAAACTCCTGGCCTCAAGTGATTTGCCCGCCTCGGCCTCCCAAAGTGCTGGGATTACAGGCGTGAACCACCACACCCAGCCCATATTCTCAAAGTTTTGAATTTGATTTTCCCACAGCCCCAGCCAGTCCTCCTTTTGTCTGAATAAGGAGAACACTTTTTTCCCTAATAGAAATTGGAGGTTAACATGTTTTAGGCATAAATGTTCTACTTCCCTGACCTTGTCACTCAAAGTGTACTCAACTACTGAGTGGGGTGGTGTAGATAATCCTCTTATGATCAGAGGGTCCCTCTAGCGGTGAGCAGCGACTAGCGCTTATTCTCTAGCTATATCCTCTAATTTATAATCAGATACAAGTAGGGTCTGTTAGTATAAAACTTCTAACTAAAAGAGAAATTAAAATCATAGGATAATAAAGTTGGAAATCATCATCTGGTCTGACATTTTACTCTTAAGCATGTCAATCTCAGCTATTCTGAAAAGTATTCAGAGATGAAGTCTCATTCTTTATTAGTTTTTCCTTTTTTCTTTTTTTGAGACGGAGTTTCACTCTTGTCGCCCAGGCTGGAGTACAATAGCACGATCTTGGCTCACTGCAACCTTCGCCTCCCGTATTCAAGGGATTCTCCTGCTTCAGCCTCCAGAGTAGCTGGGACTATAGGCACCCGCCACAATGCCTGGCTAATTTTTGTATTTTTAGTAGGAAGGGGTTTCACCATGTTGGCCAATATCTTCTCGATCTCCTGAATTCGTGATCCATCTGCTTCGGCCTCCCAAAGTGCTGGGATTGCCCAGCCTTGGTTTTCTTTATTTTAGAGTCTTGTTCTATCACCCAGAGCAATCCCAGCTCACTGCAGCCTTTACCTTCTGGGCTCAGGCAACTGTCCTACCTTAACCTTTCAAGTAGCTGAGACTACAGGCCTGCACCATCACAACCAGCTAATTTTTGTATTTTTTTGTTGCAACGGGGGTATCCAGGCTGGTCTCGAACTCCCTACCTCAAGTGATCTGCCCACCTCGGCCTCTCAAAGTGCTGGTATTACAGGTGTGAGCCACCATGCCCAGCTGGCCTTTATTTTTCATTATGGAAATTTCCAAACCAAAAGTAGAGTAGTATGGTGAACCACTGTGTACACATAACCCAGCTTCAATAATTATCAACATAAAAGGCCAGTGTGGCCGGGTGCAGTGGCTCAAGCCTGTAATCCCAGCTTTCGGAGGCTGAGATGGGAGGCCCAGAGTTTGAGGTTGCAATGAGCTATATATGATTGCACCACTGCTGCACTCCAGCCCAGTGAGACCTTGTCTCTTTTGTTTTATTTAACACCCTGTCTCAAAAAACAAAACAATTTGTTTCTTCCAAAGGATTAAATCCCAAACTTCATATACTTTTTTTGTCTATGAATATAACATATAACCCTTAATAAAGATTCCTTTTATAATGGTGACAACTTTAACACTATTATCATGCCTAAAAAAATTATTTAATATCAAATATCCAGCTGATGTGATGGCTCACACCTGTAATCCCAACACTTTGAGACTTTTTTTTTTTCAGAGATGGGGTCTCACTATATTGCCTATGCTGGTCTCGAACTCCTGCACTCAATTCATCCTCTCACATCAAAAAATTAAAAACAAATGAGCCGGGCTTGGTGGCATGCACCTATAGCCCCAGCTACTCAGGAGGCTGAGGCAGGAGGATTGCTTGAACCCTGGAGGTGGAGATTGCAGTGAGCCGAGATCAGGCCACTGCACTCCAGTCTGGGCGAAAGGGCAACACCCTGTCTCAAACAATAAAATTTTGTAGAGACGGAGTCTGGCTGTGTTATCCAGGCTGTTCTCAAACTCCTAGCCTGAGTTGATCCTCCTGCCTGGGCCTCCCAAAACGCTGGGATTATAAAACCTAAGCCATTGCATCAGGCCTTAAATGTAATTTTTGATTAACAAACCAAAATGGTTTAGTGGTTTGTTCTTTGGGAGATTAGTTAATATAATTGAGTTGTCAAATCTTTTCTGGGCTCTCTACTGGGCTTAGGGAATTGTAAAGATTAAGACACATTGCTGGCCAGGTGTGGTGGCTCATGCCTGTAATCCCAGCACTTTGGGAAGCTGAGGCGGGTGGATCAACTGACGTCAAGAGATCGAAACCAGCCTGGCCAACATGGTGAAACCCTGTCTCTACTAAAAATACAAAATTAGCCGGTCATGGTGTCACGCCCCTGTAGTCCCAGCTACCTGGGAGGCTGAGGCGGGAGAATCGCTGGAACCCAGGAGGCAGAGGTTGCAGTGAGCCTAGATCGAGACACTGCACTCTAGCCTGGGTGACAGAGTGAGACTCCTTCATCTCAAAAAAAAAAAAAAAAAGACACGTTGCCTACCCTTAGTTAAATGGGGGAGGAGATAAATATACAAATAAATTCAATTCAAAGGTATAAGGGCTTGTTGAATTAAAATTCTACAGGGAACTGAAGGCTGTAGAAAGTCATTAGTGATCTCTACTTTTTTTTTTTTTTTTTGAGACGGAGTCTCACTCTGTCCCCCAGGTTGGAATGCAGTGGCGTGATCTGTGCTCACTGCAATCTCTGCCTCCCGGGTTCAAGCGATTCTCCTTCCTCAGCCTCCAGAGTAGCTGGGATTACAGGCGCCCGCCACTATGCCTGGCTAGTTTTTTGTTTTTTTTTTTTAAGATGGGGTCTCACTCTGTTGCCCACGCTTGAGTGCAGTGGTGCAATCTCGGCTCATTGCAATCTCCGTCTCCCGGGTTCAAGTAATTCTCCTGCCTCAGCCTCCCGAGTAGCTGGGATTACAGGCGTGCGCCACCATGCCCGGCTAATTTTTTGTATTTTTAGTAGATACAGGGTTTCACCATGCTGGTCAGGCTGGTCTCGAACTCCTGACTTCGTGATCCGCCCGCCTTGGCCTCCCAAAGTGCTAGAATAACAGGCGTGAGCCACCGCGCTCGGCCGATCCCGACACTTTTTTTTAAAATGACGAAGCTGGAACCGACACAGCACTTTCAAAGGTTCCTCCATAGCTCCTCTGAGATCCGGCCAGCGGGAAACCCCAACTGGGAACTGCAATGGCAGGGAAAGTAGAGGCTAGATCCTGTTGTGTTACCGCGATTCCCTTCAACTACCCACAAGAAGCCCATTTGTTT